CGCGAATGAGGTCAAACCGTGCCTGTGCTTCCGAGTCCATCGCGACGAGTCAGAGCCAGAGAATGAGACTTGTGGAGAGATGCGCAGGGAAAGGGAAAGGCGGCGTTGGTGGGCTGGTGGGATGGTTTTCTTAGGCGGGGGAAACTGTCGGATCAATATTTGTTCCGTTTGCCTCCTGAAGTTTTTGAGTCAGAGGAAAGGCGGTCAGGGGCGGCAGATAACCATCTCCATTTAAAGCGGCGTCTATTATAGAGGACATACATTATCAGGCAAGTCTGGTGGAATCATGGTCTCACCTCATGCGACATACCCACATTCATAGTTGCCATTGGTCGTAAAGCTTACAAGGGCCGCTATTGGATTTCAGAGAGAGATTAACCAGTACAAGATACTTTTTGTAGGCAAAATTCAATATCACTCTTGAACGCCAAGCCATGAGAGATGTGGGCAGAGCTACGGCTCAATACAAAAAGGGGGGTATCATGTAAAACAGTCTGTCAAAGGCTCGACAACAGAATTAAAAGCCCCGTTCATCCATTCAAGCGAAACAATCATAAGCAAAGTCCATCACGGTGACCGCGGCCACACCAAATCCCTTGGGCTATTATTATTCACGGGACTCCCGAGATCCCGATAAGGTGCAATGGGTGACGCCTCAGCGGTGGTGCTCCGATCACCAATATGGAACTTCTTTGAAGCGAGGATATCTGTTCTACGCAAATATAAGTTTCTCGCACGGTACCAGACGAGATAAGTAAACTTACACCATAACCAGGGGAAACAAGCATTCCATCGTATACGCAAACCGATCAAACTGACCCGCCACCGTCGTAGCTGTTTGTGATGTGGCCTGCAACGAATACGTGACTGCGCGGGTGATCCCGATGATGCAGAGGCTAGCGACGCGCATCTCAGTTGTGCGGAGCATATACCGGAAGACTAGTCTCGTGGAGGACACTTTGGGAGAGGCACGGTATGCCTTGTGCAGAAGACGAATCAGAAAGAAAGAACTGCACGTTTCGACCAATGCGATAGTCGTGAAGTAGCCGACGTGCAGATAATCGATTCGGTGTTGTAATGGGCCAGCAGAATGAGAGGACACGCCTTCTTCAGTGATTTCGAGGACTCTGCTGGCGAGTATCGCCATTCGGATGGAGCCAATGGCAACCATGAAAAACCAGAAAAGGGAAAGGAAGAGTACCCGGGTCGAGTCTCGAAGAGTGTGTAGTAGTATTTGGTAGCTGTAGAAGGAAAGGCCTGCTTCCTGAACCTATTATCTAGTTAGTAAGGCATCCGGTCACCAACGTTGACCGAGTGACGGACTCACCAGCCAGAGGATATCCGCAATGGCACTGGCGGCTGCTCGGTCTCCGGTAGGAGATGATGTGTAGAAGGAAAAGTAGCAGAGTCCGTTGGCCACGGCACCAGCTGCGGAGACGATGATGGGGATGAAGCTCAAGGGGGTGGGCCGTGTGATGATCATGGTCCAGATACTCAATAGTGTTGTGAACAGTCCGATGCTGCTTAGAATTGACCAGCTTAACTCATAGTAACTGGCGACTTCCGGAGAGGTACCGGCTGAGGTGTGAGTATCCATTGCTTCCACGCTTGTACTATGTCAGCCGAATTTTCTTTTTAGCGGCAAAGACTGCTAGAGCCCTCCCTCCTCCTCGGCATTCCTATGAAGCAGGATTACGAGTCTAATTAAATTCGTCCGAGATATAGAGATAAGAAGCAGGGGGTTGTTCAGGTAATTATAGAAATCGTGTCTCTTCGAAAGAAATACCGCTAAAGTTGACCTGCGTTGGACACGAACGGCGTGCAGTTCATTCCCCGCACTATCCATATTTCATGAATAGGGCGTCCGCGATAATCTGGGGAAAAACCGGGGACGATCCACGCAGTACGGATGAAATGCCGCGTCCAAATATTAGCCTTAGGCCCTTAGCCACGGATAATTTAATCCCCAACGCATAGCGGCTTTGACGGGTATTAACTATTTCTTCCGTCAATCTCGCACGTTTCTCGTCCATTAGCCCGGTTGATTGAACTGGTGGGCTGTGCGTTCGTGTTCTTGCTGACGAATACACTAACCTGACTTAGAATGATTCAAGTTACAATGCTTGCTAGTGTGAACGTTGACTCTAACTAGGGCTCGGTGGATATACCCGTCGTGGCTTGTAAGCCGACCCCATGAATATAGCCGAGCAGACGGCGGACTCAATTGAGGTTCCGAACATCAACGCAACTGTATTTCTACCAATCAAATCTAGTTAAAATTTTCATTATAATTACCTACCAATCATAATAGCTGAAATAGTCGGCTAGTCCAGCTTCGAGGATATTTGCACTGACAAAACCGGATGTCTTATTATTCCTATTATCCTATATTCAGGAAGCTGTTGAATCTTATTGCCAAAAAGTCTTTATATACAAAGAATCTCCGGCATATTTATCACTGTCTATAGCCCTTTGGAAAAGTATAGTGATAACCACACTAATACTTCTACTATATTGTAAGAACTACCTAAAAATAGAAGACCACTTGTGTCAAAGAAATATCTACTATTTAGGGTAGAAGACCTGTCAACTAGGTAAGGGTACGCAGTCAGAAAGCTAGGCAGTAGATACTATGCCGACAGCAGACTGATTCTTGCCTTGCTCTATTATCAACATCAGGCTAACTTTATAGTCAGGAGGACCCCCTTCTTTCCCTAACAAATTAAGACTGACAGGGGACTATTGTACACTATTGAAAAGGTAACGGATATAGAGTCCGACGTCGCCCTTCGGCCACCGAGTTGTCTATGCACAGCGGGCAGAGTATACGATATAGTCATCATACAGAGTCATCATCGGATCTGTGACAAGAAGATATAGAGAAAAAAAATAATCAGTCTTAATTAGCCTTAAAATTAGATCTTATATAAATCTGGCGGCTATATTCTGAGTACTAGTGTCTTAAGTTTCTTAAGTGTTCAATTCTGATAATGACTTAGTACCTCAGTCAACTCTGCCAAATATTGATAATAAGATATCACTGGCCTGTTATATTCTGAGGATATGGACTATTAATAGTCAGTATATCACTGAGTAGACAGTTTACAATATTTATATTCCTTGGTAGATTGGGAATATTCTTTCCTGGAATTACTTTTACTATTGCAATTCAGCCCTTCTGGTGTGTTCTACGGAAGTAAAAGTATATTATTGATTTTCTCCGCGGTGTGAATATGTCGGCAGTAGGATTAGTTATTACGGCTGTATACCGACTTTGGGAAATAGGGTATTTGAGTCCGAGGGAATACAATGGACAAAGTCTGATAAAAGAGCTGTAGTGGGTTTTTGTCACTGCTGTTACTTATACTGAGAGTACATAGTTCAAGGTTCCTCCTGCGGTCGCGATTTTGCTAGATACTATGCTTGGGTTGTGTTGGTATGGAGTCGTTTCTCCTGCGTGGCGACGGATTGTGTGGATATGCTCGTATCAGGAGCTGGGCATCAAGAGATCTCAAGACTAATATAATTGAATAGATTGTGCTTTAAGAGTATAAAAGATATCGTTTTAGAAAAAGAAAATAACTCGCCTTCGGAGCCAAAGTGGTACAGATTGCGGCTATGTATATAACTATCCATTCGGCTTTCGTTCCTGAGATCGGCCTCAGAATAAGTAGAAGAACAACTAGTCAATATTTCAAGCCAAATATATATAAAGAGAAACAAGCAATCATCAAGCCAGAGACTAAAGTTATCTGAATATCTATTAATTGTTGGTATAGGAAAAGGTATATCCCAGGGTATCAGCTATATTCATTATCGTCGGGGAAGCACTGCGGCAATAGTGTAGATGACTGAATCAAATCTTGGTTTCCGGCCTCAGCAGAGGACGATGGAGTCACTTTATATCACCCGTCCCTTGGGATTCTGTCTCGGAGGATATCGACGACTATCTATTACCAATACTTATTTCGACAGAATGCTGAACACTCAAAAACGGTAAAAATTATTGCACATATAATCTGGAATCTTAGGCTAAAGGCAGTGATAAGGCACCAGCTTCTGATTTTATGGTCGCGTTGATTATTCTGCTCTCAAGAGCCTAGCAATGGGGCAATACTGCTATATAACTCTCTGTTCCAGTTTCGAGGTTTGTGTTAAATTTTAAGGACTTATATCGAGCCGCAATCCCCTGGCAAGTGACCTGTTTGGACCTTAGATAGTACGTCGCCTAAGTCTGTTAGACTCTGGACGTCTGACAAGGTTAATGGATCCACCTACCAGCTGCTCTTTTGAGGGCGACCATTAGGGTCAATTATTGCCTTTTGTTATGTGCAAGAGGGATGTCCCACTAGACAACCAAATGCCACCAAAAACGTCGCGCTGCCGATGCTTTGTCGCCTACTTCTGCTAGAAGACAGGGATCTCCGAGGGTGGATGATGTTGAGACTGCTTTCCGTGAGGCCATATCATCAACTACGCACTCTTCATCCATAAACGAAAAATTGACTACAACCGATGACAGTAGCTTTAGCGAAGTAAACTTAGCGAGAAAAATATCGTGAAATAGCTGCATTACTAAGGGATTGCAATGACTTCTGATGCTGAGTGTTTCTGGTGATAAACAGCAATAACAGTGCCAAAAATCAAAAGAATTTGTTTAATCAATGTTACACACTTATAATGTAACAGTGTTCTTTCGTTGTTCTAAGGAGCCCTGCCCTCTTCTATGCTTGCCTGAGCAAACATGCATGATGGGCGACTGTTATTGGAAAAATGGGAAACATATATAATGCAAAAAAAAAAAAAAAAAAAGCAAAGATTGTCTCGTATAGAGAATGTGGGTTAGCTGTTCCCGTAACTTAGCACTTTGTTTACAGTCGATATTGGGATATTGGGATAAAAGCTTTACTCAGTAGTTCTATACCCTCGTTTGACTACAGCACAGAAATCTTCTGAAATTTAGGGCACTGCCCCTCGCAAGACCAATATTGACCATCTCTTCAAATATGTATATCTTCATTTAGCTTGGACAGCCCTATGTGAATGCCGTCCTTGGGGGAAGCCGACAAAAACCCTCTTGTTTCAGGCTCGTTTTCTTGCTGGGCCGTAAGCTTGAATACTGTAACAATAGATGAGATAATTATACACATTTCCATCATAGCTAGCGACCGCCCAGGACAGCTCCGAGGTCCATGTAGAAAGGTAAGATATGCGTACGGAGAGCTTGGCGACTCTATATTGTCCGATGGCCCATCCCTGATACGACCACTTAACCATCGCTCAGGAGAGAACTGTTCAGCCTCAATTCCCCATAGCTTGGAAGACCGGTTAGCCACATAAGGTGAAATGATAATGCATGTCCCTGCAGGCACAAACTGATTTTTTATACTCGAGTCTCGAACAGCTTTGCGCACTGTAACCGGGATGGGAGGGTGTAGTCGGCTGGCTTCTAGTATGACAGCGGTCAATAAAGACATACTTCGATGAATGTCTTCAGATGGGACATTCATTTCGTAGCCACGTTTTACTTCCGCTCTAAGAGTGGCTTGGAGCTGTGGGTGTTTTGCAATATGATACAGTGCCCACGACAGGATATTCGCAGTCGTATCGAACCTGTAATGAATGACTAGCCTCAGTATTCGATGATTTTTTTGTGCAGAAGGTTTATATACATACGCAGCACCTATTCCAAAGACAGCCTGCTCTATGCATTCCTCCCTGGTAAATTCACCTGTAGTTATCATTTGGCTAAGAACGTCCCCGGGAAGCTTGTCCAATCGCTTATACTGTTCAAGCCTCTCATCCACGATCCTAGATACAGTATCACGAATATAAATCCCAGCGGAGGCAATCTGTTTGTCCTGCGATGTCGGACATAATCTCTTTATCAATTCTGGAGAGAATCCCTGCCATATGAGCTGAGATAAGGTGCTTCCTTTTTCAATAACGTGCCAAGCGTTGTAGAATGCCCGATTTTCATATATAGTTCGAAAATCGTGGCTTAAGATAAAATGGCCCGCTATGTCCAGAGCAGCACGCGACATCCAGGGTTTGATATCAACCATATTCTTAGAGTGTAGCTCAGATGAAACGATGCTAGGAATAGTTGCTCTTAGCTGTTTCACGAGTAAGTCTGCTGTTGATAGGATAATTGGGTTCATGTTATAGAGACGTTGTTGTTGGAAGGCCGGCATAAGAAGCTTTCGCTTCTTTTTATGTGCTTCTCCTCTCTCGACAACTAGTCCTTCTCCGAGGGCGTGGCGTAGGTGGCGTCGCAAGAACCCTGGCTTCTCATAATCGTAGGCGTGATGTATTAGCACATCGGCTAAGGATTCTGGGTCTGTAAGCAGTAGTGCGTGCGACCCGACAGAAAGATGTAAATGGATAAGGCCATCATTTGGTATTGATTGAGACCATTCTAGCAGTGGTTCTCCGATCGGCTCACGGAAACTTTGAAACATATGACCGAACAAAAGACTTCCACCCTTATATTGTATATATCAGCTATAATAATTCGCAAGACATGTCACTGGGTCTCACCGGTGGTCGTGGTACTTCTCTGAAAATAGTAGATGAGTACCAACTGGAGATGATCCAAAGAGAAATTCCCCAGCAGCTTAAAAGGCATACAACCGACAGTATCCAAGGGTCGGTGAAAAAACCTATATTGAAAAGCCTTGCCAATAAGCGGACTACACCTGTGGTTATAAGTGCAGCACCTATCACCTGCGCGCCTAAAGGTTTAAACATGCTTATTGTGTTCCGAGAATTTCGTATGATAACGAGGAAGGCGTCAGAAGAGCTGAAGCTGTCTGAGATATATCAGTTATCCTATGCTAACTGCTTTAACACTCCCATTAAACACATATGAACCAGGATAAAGCGGGGCCAACATGAGGAATCCTTACGCTCGCTGAGAGTAACGGTGAGAGTATTCAAGGCAATATCTAAGAGCCGAAGAGCCAGGAGTTCGGTCATACATTCCTCCCTTGCAGGAAATACTCATTATTAGGGAAAAAGCAGGTAATAGTGTACATTTAGCATCCATGTCAGAGATGGAAGATCAAATTTGGTTTGAACGAATAACTTATTTGGCATACAGGCTCTGTACGTGTTTCAATACTCCCCATTTAATTTGATATGGGTTCATATTTATCTACATCTTCCGTATCATCAATATTTTTTTAATAACCTTACTATAACGAGAAATTCATGTACTGGTCACCAGTAATTGTGTTGAGGCAAGGGGTGGGCCAATAAATTATGGTCATCCAATGGTATGTGGATCTTAAATCTCTATTCCTGTCGATCTTGTGAAGGATCACAAAAGTTTATTGTGCATAGTAATGTAACATGATGTTGATCAAAAGCAACGTGAACTGCAGAAGAATGGTGATCTCCCCACGATACTAAGACTACTAAGCGGGTGAATTCTTTTCTACATGGACTGTGGCTTCTAGTGACTCTGACTGAAATTTATTGTGTGATCACTTCAGACATACTATATCGCTATGGCTATGCTATACTTTCTTGATTCAAAATGGTCCGTCATCCTCAACCCCATCATTATTCTCCTAGCACTTAACTTCCCTTCTATCTTTTATCGGAACAAATACACGCGTTATGAGACAACTGCTGTCGTCGCATTGATATCTGGGGCCGTGATACACTCGCAACGGTTCGAACGCAGTGTGGTAGGCTATACTTTGGGTCTATTCGAGGCATGGTTTGTGGTTTGGGCAATGGTGTTAATTGTGATTCATAACCCGAGCCAGCAATTCTGTAGGACTGTGCTAGTCTCGCAAGCTACCTCATCTCGGGGCCCCTATCTCATATGGCAGGCATTTCCACAGAAGGTATCCTGGCAGCGGTTCCTATGGACTCTTGACTTACTCGTAAGTCTGAGAGGTATCGGGTGGAATTACCGCCAGGGCAGCTATGATCTTCCCTTGCCTATCAATAACGCCATGAATGAGGCGTGTTCAACTGTACGTGGTCCAGAAATAACAGCGAAAGGAGGAAAACCGAAAGCAGCGGCCCTGTTAATGTCCAACGGATATATCCGTAAGGTGTTGGCCCGTTTAACTCTCGAAGTCCTCTGGGTCTATTTTTGTCAGACCAATGCTTTCCCGCAAATCAAGTCGTACTATTCAAGCGAGACCAAGGATGTTAAGAAAGACCTATTTTACGATTTCCTGATACGATCCTGGGCAATGTTTACTTCTCTCACGACGACTATGGCTTCGATAGATATGTTCAACACTAGTTTGATTATCCTAACCTCGTTATGCGATGTCTCGCCATATATTGGGCTATACGGTGTCCCGTGGGCGTACCCCAGTCCTTGGGGTTCTCTAAGTGCCATTCTTAGAAAAGGAATTGTTGGTAAGCACTACTAAGTTGCAACACTCAAAAGCTTGCAGCACTAATGTTGAATAGGCTTTTGGACTGAGTCATGGCATGACTACTTTTCCTACGGCTTCCGATCAATTCCTGAGTTTTTGACAACTGGGTTGAAAAACAGAATACTTATACGTATTGTGCGCCTGTTTCTTGGCTTTACATTGTCTGGAATAATGCACCTATGTGGCTCGTGCATGATTATCGGCACCTACAATCCGTCGTTTCATTTCATCTTCTTCGTCTTTCAAGCAATAGGAATCACGGTTCACTCGGTGATTTACGGCCTTTGTTTTAGAAAGCATCCATTTGCGACCCCTCTATTCAATGTCATTTTCTGTTATGTGTGGCTGTATGGTACACAACGCTTCCTTTTTGATGATTTTATCCTTGGTGACTTCTGGCAAAGAAAGATACAAGTGGGTTCATAGTCGCCCATTCAATTCCATACATGTGCCTTCGCCTTTTAAAACTCTATATGCTTTTCTTGAGAATAGGAAACCTGGGAATGCTCCGTGTTTGCGCAGCTGTTTCTATATTGAAAACACCCTAATCATACAACTGTCTCGACATTGCTGATTATATATCTGTACCCTGGCTCGCATGTTTTGCCTCGTAGGAGGCTGTCTGGCCTTCAGATTGGACCCTCACTGCGACTTGTACCTCTTCCGTCTCCTCAAAACGATAGTCCTTTGTTAGAATACTTAGAAGTAGGCTGGCCCCCGCTAGAGCACCACAAAAAATCCACACATATCGCAAGCTATCCGTATATGCGGCTCTGAGAGCCTCCTTCTGCGGCACATCCGACATAACTCTAAGTATTTCCACCAATTCCGCGGCATCCTTACTATATTCCGCTGCATGCGGTGCTAAGACCGGGTGCCCTTCCAGAATAGCACGCATTCGATTTTGAAACACCACGCCACCTACAGCCACCCCGAGGCATTGCCCCAGTGATCGAAAAAAACTGCACATGGCAACCGCCATCGCAAGATGTTTGGGCTTCGCCGAGGCCTGGATCGCGTAGATGACGGCAGGGAACAGAAAGCCCAGGCCTGTCCCAGGTACAAGCATCAAGCAAACCCAGCCGCCAACGCCTGTGTGGGTCTTCAGCAGGCAGAGAAGGCCTAGGCCCAGGCATGCCAATGCCCAGCCAGACCAGATCGCCCATGCATATCTCCCTGTTTTGGTGATCATCAGGCCAACTATAATCGCGCTCGGTGACACGGTAAACGTGATAGGAAGAAGGGCCACGCCTGCTAGAATGGGACTGTAGCCCTTGACGGCTTCGAAATAGAATGGGAAGTAGTACAGGAGGCACCAAAGAATGAGGCCATGGGACGCTACGCCGATGAAATTGACGATTGCAGTGGCGGAGGCGAAGATTACCTTAGGGATAATCGGGCTCGAGGCTACGTATGCTTCATAGAGAGCAAACACGGCAACCCCAGTGGCTCCAAGAACCAACGGACAGAATGTCTGCACGGCGCCCCAGGCATAAACGACACCCCCCCACGTTATGGGCATGAGACAAATTGTTGTACTTGCGATGAATAAAAGGGCACCAATATAGTCGATGCGTTGTAGCTTGTCTTTTAGTGGGGCACTGTTGTGATTGCCCTTGAGAGTCACCGGAATCATGAACAGAGCCAACCCAGCGAAGGGAAGGTTAATGTAAAATATCCATCTCTGAATTAAGGACGGGAGTATCAGTTGTCTGGCAAATCCAAATCCTTCGGGGGGGATATACAGACCCAGCTAACGTTCTGCGAAAAGCCTCCCCCTAAGATTGGTCCCATGACAGCGCCGATGCTAAGCATGGTGGCGATAAAACCAAAATACTGACCGCGGAGTCGCAGTGGAACTAAGTCAGTGATAACTATCTCAATAAGAGTCACTATTCCTCCACCACCTACACCTTGAAGTGAACGGCCAAGTATTAGGTACATGAATTCGTTAGATGCACCCGCAACAATAGCCCCGACAAGAAAAAACAACAATGCAAGAGTCATCAGAGGCTTTCTGCCAAAACTGTTGGAAAGGGAGCCGAAGCATGGTTGGAATACTGTAGTATGTTCCATTAGCACCGGAAAACGTGGCATAATCCGGCTATTTTAGAGTTGCTGACCTGTAGAGCAGAGCAAAAAGGATGTCCCTACCCAGAAGGCCTCGATAGCCGTCCCATTCAACTTCTTTGCGACAATCTGAAGTAGTATGAGCGATATAATGTTTTCCCATTTTCACGCGCGAGATCGGAAGCATCACTTACAGGCAACGCGACAGAAATCGACGACCCATCTAAAGCGACTAGTAAAGAGACCACAGCCAGGATTGCAAATGTTAGCCGAAATCTTTTGTCGAGGACTATATCCTGCTGGTCTTGCATATCTATCAAGTTCCCCTCAAAGTCGACGTATATGCCTTGGTCAGAACACGTCGTGTTGTTCGGCGTCATTATGTGGCATACCCTTGGATATGTTGTTTGCAGATGGAATGTTACCGGAAGTATGCCAAATAATGTTGCATGTCTTAATCCTGAGGAATGCAGATATTGCTGGAATGATTTAATTTAAGTCTATCTTCTGGCTTTGTTCGATGCAAGGGGCTGTACGCATGACCGTAATTAAATGGCTGTAAGGGGTTTGAAGAAAGTACTGTGAAGAATCAGGATCTTCAATCGGAAAAGGATGTTACATATCCTAGGCGGCAGGCCGGGAATTTTCGGTAGAGTGATTAAAGGTGAATGCCGGAAGAGGAAGACCTTAAGGAGCTGGTCCTATTTGAAGGATATATTGCCCGATATGTGGAAAAGAAAATGATACAGTCGCCCTCCGTATCAGGGAAGTGCTCCCCGTTTGAATTCAGCCAATCATGTAGCCCAGTGAGGTGCATCGGGATTTTAATTTATTGCTTATCTTTGACCTGAGAGGAGGGTGTGGCGATCTACTTGGTCTTGGAAGATCTTCACCCTCAAACCTAGTTTGGTAACCTGTTTCAGGAAGCACTTCCGTGACTTATGCATAAAATACTCGGGGACCTTGTGAGGGACTCATTGATACCTTCAGTTTGCTGCTTAGATGGCCAGCATTTTTTCTTCGGACTGAGTGGAGAATTATGGTACAGATATTTCACAAGACAACACTGTGGGAGAGGCCAGACCCCTAGAATTTTGAATAGATTGGCCTCAATTACTTTCAGGTTTTTTTTCAGTATCCCATAAGAATGACACATGTGCAAGCCGTATTCAGTGCCAACATCGGACAGATACCAATCAATTGATCTGTAGCCCCTACAGCTCTTATCCTGCTGCGAACGTAGCCAGGTCACCATCATTTCCTAGGTTGTTAAAGCCGTTATGAAAGGCACGATAATCCCGAGTACATTCACGATCTTGCAGCGGGAACATTGACTACATCCCTACCCATCACACAGCTTCATACTTCCACACGAGCTTCATCCTTGCATATGATCGTCTGGTTCCTTTGGAAATCATCAATCGCAAGTTAATTGAGGAACGAGACTATCTTCTAATAGCTCTGTATTGCATAGGTGGCCCGAAGCGCACCCAGTATGATTAGCAAAACAGCAGTATCATTCCATACAACTGCAACGCCACACTGGGCTGGGTCTCGGTATGTAAGGCAGGTCTCACAGGACTTGGATAGAAGATCTTGTAGTATCCGAATGAGAGGCAAACTCCACTAATTTTTGACAGAGATCCTGTTCTAACTCAAGGAGAGCCGTCTGCTTAGCTGCAGGGTCCGCGAACTTGTTTGTACCAATTCTCGTTGCAAGATATCGGCTGTCTCTGGGAGGTTTGATGACTTCCTGCCCTGAATGGAACTTCAAGCGACTGGCCAAAGTGTGCCCAAGATATATTTAAGTCTTTCAGGGATTTGTTAATGTCCCAAAGCCTGACGGTCCTGCCCATCAAGCCAGAGGCGACCTGCTTCCCGTCTGGAGAGAATATGGCGAAGCTGATCAGATCAGGGTAGCTAGCCAGTTTCTTCCGATAATCACCCCATTGTGGCGTCCCAGAGCTTGACAGCCTTGTCGATCGAGCTAGAGGCTATCTAGGGAGAACGCGAAAGAGGTAACCGGGGTAGAGTGACCAGCCAGTATCTGGGCCAACAATGCCCAACTGTCTTCCATGGGAGGAGTGTTTCTTAGCAATCCGGGGATTTTGTGCAAGTTCTTTTTTTATTTATTTTTTTTTCTACAGCGCTCAGTTGTGGACTAGAGATGATGGCATAGCCAGAGCTCTGTAATACCCAATTTGTCATAATGTGCTGGTGTCGCAATAAAAGCCGTGTAGCATTGTAACATGACCTATTTCTGTTCCTTTCCTCAGATGCAGTCCAGCCAGTCTGCGCTGAGGGATGATTAGTGAGTTTTAAGTCCGGATTGGACCAGGACGTATCCTGTGTAACCTTGACTCCTGCTTCTCACTTTACAATTTATATAGAAGAACAAACGAGATCTATATTTGGAAAAGAAATATAATGAATGACTAGAAGATGACAAAGATGAGCAACGCTCGACTTTCTGAAATGAGGTTGACACATTTATAAAACATTGTAGCCTGGAAATCGAAAGGCCTGATCTATCCGTATATCCTAGCAGCGGGGGAATACTGCTACATCCCCTGTTCGAGTATCGAGGTTCGTGTTAATTGTTTAGGAATTATATCGAGCAGCTATATCCTGCCAAGTGATCTGTTTGGGCCTCAGGTAGTATGTCGTCTAAGCTGGTTAGACTCTGATGTCTGTTGGGGTTAATACATCCACCTACCAGCTGCTTTTTTGATAGAGACCGGGCCCTGTCTAAATTAAAAAAGATAATCTCACTGCTATATTTTCAAATATAAATATTAATATTTTACCCTTGTATCTTTATCTTATTAGTTTAGGGAGCCTTCAAAAAGATTTTATGTCAAAACAATAATTATATAGAATATTGATTTTCTATATATCAAAGATACCAGGCGATAATAAATAGAATAATTTTAAATACTAAGATTCTTAGACAAATTATATAATACGGACTGTCTAACTTACCGATTCCTGGCAGTGCAGGATTGTCTAGAGATGAAGACTAATCCAAAGGTGATCTGAATGGTGACTCGCTAGAGATCGCTACTCCTTGGAGCATAGCTGACAGGCTATTAAGCGACACAGAATAGCTAAGTATTGGTTGACCAAAGGAAGTCCCACTTGTTAAATACTTACTTGTTACTATAGAAGGCGAGAAGAGCGGATACTGTTAAAGCCCAGGAAGATTCACCTGAGATATATTTTCTTTTGAAAATTAGACAGTTCTAGAAAAGACAAATTCTCTTATATCTTGAACCAGAGAACTACCATCAACACGTGTTTCAGCAGATTCTAGAGAAAGTAAATCTAAACCTGTTACTATTTTGCCCGCAAAATGGATAGATTGATAATAGAACAACAATGTTAAATAGTTATATTATAGTAAAATTGGTGAACAAGAATATTATATTATATATTTGAGTAAGATATATATTGTAATGTTTGGCCACACTTTTTACTATAGGCCACAACACCATAATTGGCGTAGTACAACTGATCTTGTGATAGGCCACAAGGGCCACAATTTTATGACTCGGGCTACATCATATCGGAGCCCGCATTAGCCGACAATGTGTATTTATTTCCTAATCTACTAGCACTATATTAAGATCCGTATTTAGCTATAAGCTCTATACTTTAGCAAAGAAAAAATCAATACATTATAGAATACACTGAATAGTATATGTTGTACTCTAGAGAGCACTACTAAATAAGTGCGTGGCTTTAATGTAAACCGCTGAGGATTCGGTAAGAAGAAAGAGAGAGCCCCCCCTCAAAAAAAAAAAAAAAAAAAAAAAGGCATTGTCCGGAACATCGGTTTAGTCCGCCATACGAGCATAAACTAGGCTAATAACATCCGCCAAGGTTCAAGACAAATACGAGACATGCAAAAGGAAAGGATTAACATTCAGATATACTTTATTCCATTTGCCCCCGTACTCAATTAGCAGCAAGAACACCCACCGACCAAGCCGGCAGCGTGAAAGTAAATTTGCCATCCGTCGCCTTCACATCCGACTCACTAGGCGTCACCAGAGTCTGAGTATCAGAGTTGAACGCCTTCGGGTCACTGTCCGCAAGAACCGTCAGTTTTCCGCCCGTCTTTCCGGAGATGGACATGGTGATCTCCTGGGAATCAGCTCCATAGTTGGCCAACTTGACGTAATACGTGTCTCCAGCACTGGAGGCAACCCAATAAACGGGTCCGAAGGCAGAATCAGAAGTTACAACATGGATAGTGTCTCCCCGGTTCACAGAGAACATCTGTTGCACGTAGTAGCTGGTAGTTTCGATGACCGTGCTGGGGTTCTGTGTGAAAGCAATGAGATTCGGCTATAGTCAAGTCAGTTCTCCGTTTTACCCTTTTATTCCGTGGGGGCGATTCACGTACCGTCCATTGGGTAGAGTTCACCAATTGCAACAGGGGAGCATACGCCGCCATCTTGACGACGTCGCTGTTCCTCTCAATGCCGATCATGTACACGGCCTCAGCAACAGATCCTTGCATGAAAGGCCAGTCATTGTCCTGCTGGCACGAATACTCCCCGATGAAATATGGGACGGATCGATCCTTATTATCAAATTGGCCGAACAGCCCCACGAGATTATCGGAAGTGTTGTAGTTATGGTAATCCACCCAAGCGCCTTCTGGCAACTTGCTGGGCAGGCAAGATGATTGGTCGGTACTAGCGATGATGGTGAGATCCGGATAGGCAGCGTGGATCGCGTCGTAAAAGGCAGTGAAGCGCTCTACGTAGGATTCACAGCCGCCGCCCAGCATGTCCTCGTTACCGATCTCCACCATGGTAAGTTTCCAGGGTTCTGTGCGCCCGTACGATGCACGAAGGGAACCATATTTCGTGCTTGAGTCGCCAAGGATGTACTATGATTCTGTCAGTGCCTGTTCCTGGAAGCAATGGGGTAGGGAACATACCTCGAGCTCATTCAGCACATCATCGATGTAAGGCTTCAGGGCGTCGCCAGTGATAGGTGTGTTGCCACCGGACTCAAGAGCAAAGCCAGCCCAGACACCCAGGACCGGGGTAAGTTCCATATCCTCGCACCAGTAAAAATACTCATCAAGGCCTAATTGGCTGGTTAGGTTCCGTTCATTAACATCTTTGAGATGCACTTACCCAGTCCATCTGTGTTGTAGTATGACCAATCGCCTTGGCGTCCGGGACGGTTTTCCACGGGGCCGATCGTTTCATTCCACTTCCACCTGCGAGCTTCACTTGCACCCTCACTGTATCCATTAATTCGTGTCTTTCCAGAGCACCTGGTGCCAGGAAGGCGACGACTCACAGATTGTTACCTCCAGGGAATCGCAAGAAAGATCCCTTCATGTCTGCCAAAGGCTGAGCCACCTGAGGCTTGAGCCCATTAGACCTACAAACGATATCAGTACCAGTGATCATGTCACAGATAAAATGGCACAAACCTTGATTTGTAAGTCTCAGGGAAAAGCTCGAAGAGCCCGAAGTTCAATGAGGAACCACCAATCGACGCTCCGTCAACCGTGAGCTCATAGAGAACGGCGCCATCAGGAGCCTTCTTGGTGGGGATCTTTGCTGTGACCTGGGTAAAGTTGCCCGAGTTCGAAGACGGCGAGATCTTCGTCGAACCATACTCGGTACCAGTGTTGTTGCCCACCAGTCGAACCGTGATGTCGCCGGAGAAGTCACCCTTGATCCAAAAAGTGTTCAAGAATTCGCTTCCATCTACTGGAACACCCCAGTAACCTTCGTTGGTGAACCCCACAGCACCAGATGCACCCTGTTTGATGTCAAGTTTCAGACTATGCGGGATGGCTTCGGTCAAGGGGTTCTGCGCGTCAACGGCGATAGTGGCATCGCCGACGGCAGCCCACGCAGTCAGGTCAGGTTCGCTTCCCTGCAAACCATTATTGCGTAGGAGCTGACCATAAATACCCCCGTCTCCGGAATGGTTGATGTCCTGGTTAGTTTAATTAGCTATGATATTCATTGTCCGGTGTGCCAGGGTCGCATACTTCGAACATGAAACCATACAATATGGGGCTCGACGAGTTTCCTTTCTCTGTGGAAACTTCTAGAGAAACGCCATACGTATGCTGGACTAAGGAAAACAGAAAGGGAAGGGCACTGAGCCCCGAAAGAGTAGAGAATGCCACCATAGTGCAATTCCTGGTGTGATACTTGAGACTGGGAACATCTTTCAACGGCCATGCTCAATGACTTTATATGCGCCCTTGAAGAGATAATTAACCGTTCTGGGGCCTTGAAAAATGGAGAATGAGGCAGGAAGCCGTACGGGAGTGATAGAGACATTCAACCGAGAGTGGAGAGAATATGGGGAATGCGGAGTGCCCGATCATAACTGTGGTGTGCGATACCCACACAAAAACATGCTATGCGACATTTCACAATGACAGCCAAGGCTATCGCGCTCTGAAGTCTCAGTCACAATACCTGGTTTGAGGAACCCTTTGGCCAATCTGGTTTCTCAGCATAGCCCACCGACGTATCCGGGATGTATACGAGGTATACCAATAGTTCCTGGATGGACTATAGTGGATCATACGACATGTCGATCTTTGTCCATTTCCAGTGAGACAGCGAGTTATTTCAGGTACCGAGCGATTCCAAAGCCAGGTACCACTGTAAAACCTCGGAGAAATATAACTTCTACCGTCTGTGCTACAGGAAATCTCACTCCCACCGCCATCCCAAATTCTAAGAACAAAACAAGCTTTATGGCTGCTATTATACCACTGCCTAATGATTTCTTGTCTCAAGGAGGCGTCGAGGTGGGCCGAACAAGGTACTCCCAGGGCCAGCGGAATAATGCATCAGTCAGGCATCAAGTCAACCTCTGCAGTACTCCACTATCGCGACTACAAACCAAAGGAAGCAAAGCGCTGTGGGCAATATCGCACCGGTGCCCCTTCGCACCTACAGGATCTTGGCACAACCCACAGGCGATTGGCTCGGTCTCTATCGGACCAAAATTGGTCCCAGCTTAGGGCGGAGAATAATATAATTTAGTTCCTGAGTCCATGCACGATGATGTCGGTTGTGCATTCCCCCTCTTTATTCGTCTCCGCATGGGTTCTGCAGGGCGACGCTCAGGGCAAAACCCCGGCGGGGACGGGGTGGCCCTGTCGATCATCTCGCCGAAACTACGAGTCGCGTGTCTTGAAAGTCTTACTCGGCTATTGAAAAGCATATGTTGGCTGACGTTATGTACGAACTGAATGTACGCTGAATCGGCCAATCTGTACTTCTCGTGGCTATTCGCGAGCCGAGTCAGGGGGTGAAGGGGGAGGCGACAGACATCAAAGCCGTTGTGCAGGCCCTGCAACATGTTGCATGCATACTAATGGTATCTTTTGGAATGGACATCGCGTGGCGCATCCTTTGGTTACGGACATATTAACAAGGCTTTCGGATCGATCGTAGTAGATTGATAAATATCGTAGCTCGAGGATAACTGTAACATATCACGCGTGACGCCAATTCTAACGGTGAATGAAAATAGTGTAGGAAAATATATATAGTTCCAGCGTGCTACACAGCAGCACTGGTAGTTTTAATTATTGCTAAATTTCACAACGACATATCAAGAGCACAAATGGCTGTTATAGTATACATGAGATTAGTAATATAATAGTTTGTAATAAATACAAATAACTAGGTGTTAGACCATTGTTTAGGAGTGGAGGGCGGAAGATAGTGAAGTGAGTATTAAGAAATCTCTAACTTGGTGACTTTTGTGATATAAATTAAAATAAGACATTATCTCTTCAACAATTCCTCGATGGTCTAACGGTCATGATTTCCGCTTGTCATCTCAAATGAGAACAAGCGCGGGAGACCTGGGTTCGACTCCCAGTCGGGGAGATCTTTTTTTCTTGTTGTTTCGCCTGATCCCCAACCGGCCTTATTTGTATTTGCGCCGTCCTCCTCTTTTCTCTCCTCTTTCCGGCTGTTTCTTCTCTCCTCTCATTTTTTTTTTTTTTTTTTTTATATAGGTGCGGAATACCTACACGAGTCACTATATAACAATATGACATCGTTTCAAACCACTTTATCTAGGGTTTGTTCTTCTCACAACATTTGTCGTAGAGCATCACATTAGTCTTGGTAGTTCTTTGCCACTGCAGGGACCTTGTACACACATCTCATGAGACAAACTGCCATTAGAAATACACGGGTATAGGCGGCTATTCTGAAAACAAATTTCGCGATCCACAGAACAACGATTCATACTAGTCATACAGTCCACGCGAAGCATTTATTTTTCCGTCCTCTTTTCTCTTAGGAGAAAAAAAGTAAAAGGAAACAAAAAAAGCCCACAACATATAGCATGAATCATAACCACTACCACCGTCGAGGATCACGCTTAACCGTAGAGTGACAACCCTCCAGCCGGTTGAACAGCATGTCCATTACACTCATCGGCTCGCCTTCAACCCACGAGGATTGACGAGGATTTGTATACAGGATCATACACCAACAACCCATAATTTTCGTCTGCATCAAGAACCGACCCGTCATTAAGCAAGATTACCGGGTTTACTGGGCGATGTAAGAGGGCAGAGGAGAACTTCCGTATCCCATAGAGTACTCTGGCCTCATAAGATCCCATCGCATCGGCAAGATGTTCCATCCGTAATTCCTCCACCGGCGTGATCTCTACCACATCATCTTGATTCTCTGAGTGAGCGTGACGTATCTTGATAAACGACACGGGCGGCTGCTGAGGTAGCATTCCCCTCCAGCTGGCCTCTGGACGAAGCAAGCATGGTTGCGCCGTGAGGGTAGTGAACTTGCTGATAATTTCTCTTATAGATGGGTTCCTGGTGCTTGGCTGATCTGGGTTCCTGCACGGGTTGAAGAACAACGTAGTCTGAATACGGGGCGACTTCTTGATGAGCTCATGCCATTTATAACACACGAGCTGGGCGGAGGTCAACAGGGTTCGTGCATCTGTTTCCAAAAGGATCTGCTCAAGAATCTCCACCAGGTGAAAGATCACGTGTGGCTCATTTCTTTGCTTCATGTTTCGCTTTTTGTGAGAACTGAATGATAGTCTATAAAGTTCAGGTGTTGGCAGGTGTTGGCAAGTGCTGCTGAGCCATGTGAAAAAAGATTGGTTCTAGCTGCCAGTGGATGTGGACATGAGGTAGTCATGGTGAAGATGTTTCCCAGGCGATAGGTTTCTGATGATGTGTCTTTCAGCAACCACGTTGTTACTTAGTGTTTCCATGGCACGCGAGCTCTGAATAGCATGAACAAAAGCAGTGTTGCACAAGAAACACATTCACATCTACCTTGTCTAGACGACCTTTTCAACCCCACACCTAAGGTGAACCACGTAGAAAAAAAAAAATGTTTCCGTTGTATTATGCTAATAATTAGTTGTTGGGGCCTCTTATCATTAACTAAGTCGTAAAATTACATGTTGAATGTGAAATGTTAATGTCAAGTCTCACTCAAGGTTCATCAGGTGCGTGATTCCGCATAGTAGCCCAGATCATCTGCGTGCTCCTGTATTCGCGGCAGTTTTGGCGGCAGATCTCTTTCAGGATCGTCCTGGATGTCCTTATTGATAGGATCCTCTAGAGTCGGGTTTGGCTCCTTCACAAGCCAGGAAGCATACGTGGTGAAGGGTACGCTGACCCAGAACACCACAAACGCGACAATGAGGTTAGCCATGAGGGAGACGTTCTCGCTGGCGCCAATTCCGAATGCGATAGCAAAGCCCAGACTCTCAAATGAACGGAGAATCCCGGTGGTATATGCCAGGACATCGACATGGATATCATATGTTCCCAGAATCCAGTACGTCCATACCACTGATGCTTGGCTTCCAACACTAAATCATCCAATACATTAGTAACGAGTCTCTCTGGCTTCATCAGAGAATGTACATACCCAAATAGACAATACGCCGCGATCGCCTTCCCGTATCCCGGGTCATAGATGTCCAAGGATGGGGTGGGACTTTGCTTCTGCAGGTCCGTCTGCATGACAAAATTCAAGACCCACTGCGGGATAAACACAGCTACCATCGTCATCCAACCCGCAATCGCTGTTCCCCGTCTTGTTCTAAAGATCTTTTGCGAATCCAACAGCCAGCCCCAAAGCACCGTAGCGACAATGCCGACCACGGTTTGGACAAACCCAGCCAGGGTCCGGCCTCGAACGGAGAAGTATTCCGTCAGATAGTTTCCCTGGTATGTTTGGCTCCACCGCACGGTGATGAAGATCGGAATCAGAAGCAGCATGTACTTCTGCTTGGTCGCTTTCCAAAATCCCTTCAGGCCTTCCTTGAGGGTGATACGATTTTCGTCGGAGCTGAATGTCGGTTTGGTTCCGTCTTTGCGAATCAGCTTGTGCGCGGGAGCGACGGTTAACGCGAGGGGGAGACCGGCGCAGCTGAGTCCGATGAGAACGAGGTATGTCTTAGGGCTGATGCTGCCCTTGCTGGATGTGTCCATATTGAGCGCGAGTTGAATAGCGTTTCCAATGACCGATCCGAGCTTGTTCAGCGCCATCCAGATACTGACTATCAGCCTAGTTAGCGAGGGCGTGTCTTTTGTGGAAGTCGCGATTATAGCATAGATAGCACTTACTGTAGGTACCGCGATTCTCAGGCTCAGGATAACCGACAGCAATAGCAGCCTCCGAGACCCATAATGCAGCACCCTACACACAAATCAGCATTCACACATCTCCTCTAACCAGCAAGAACGAATATCGTCGCATACCGAGAAACCACAAGTCACCGACCCAAAGAGCAAAAACCATTGGGTACCGAAGACACTATTGCAGTATAATGCCGCGAAGTAGGGCACATAACCGATTGTTCCGGCGACCAACACCCACTTCAGACTGAATCTGTTCCCGGCGATCGCGAATAACGGGCATGTCACGATCATGATCACATACGTGATGACATTGGAGGCATTGACGAAATACGGGGTCGCTAGACCACCAGCTCCCAATCCTAATCGCAAGATCAGTTTCTGTATTCTTCCTTTCCTTTTTTTTTTTTTTTTTTTTTT